GTAAAGTTTATGCAGATAGTATTATTATGTCTATACAGAGATAATGAAAACTACTAGTAAGACATATCTTTACAATTTTTTTTTAATTTCACGTAATTAGATATTGGAAGGGAGCATGCGGAAGAATTATTTACAGTTATGTTATTCCAAACCTGGAGAATGCAAGAAAACAAATGGAAAAATTATAAATGAATTCAGAAAGATGACTAATTGCATAATAAATATATAAAGATTAATATAAAGTAGTTGATCACTTAGAAAATATAATGGAAAAAGACCTCATTCACAATAGTACTATTACTAATTTAAAAAGCGAAATATAAGTGAAAAATTTGTAAGAAATACAGGACCTTTAATAAGGAAACTATAAAACTTTCCTGTGGGACTTAATATTCAAAGAAAGAATTCTTGGTCAGGTTCATGTAAAGATTTTCCTTCCCCCTATAATCTAGAAATTCAAAGCCATACCCAAATCTCAATAGGACTTTTAAGGAAGCTGGAAAGATGTTTCTGAACCTTTTTTGGACAAAAAAAAGACAAATAGCCAGAAAAACCCAGGAAAAATAAATGAGTTGGAACAAGTCCCAGCAGATATGAAAATCTTTTACAATGTTAGAGTTATTAAAGTAGAGTCACGTTAGTCCAAGAATAACTAGATCAGTGGAACAAAGGTCTAGAAATGCTTCTCGCTTTTGTGGGTGAAAAAAAATGGCTTTTCAGTGGGAAAATTCAGGAAAACTGGCTACCTACTTGGGAGGTGAAAAGTCACTTATACCATTTCTCAAAAGCCAAAACTATAAAATGAAAGAGCAAAGCAGAACAAGTAGGAAAAGATCTCTAATACCAAATAAAGATTAATAATCTTTAAAAAAGAATACTACAAATTAATTAGTAAATGATGAGCACTCCAAGAGAGATGGACATGAGTAGATAATTCATACAAGAATAGGTACATATAGCCAGCAAACTTATGGAAAGAGTTGTTCAACCTCATTGGCAATACAAGAAATGGACACTCATGGACTATTGGAAATATAAAATTGTTTCTGTTCTGGAGAGCAGATAGGCAATGTCTTTAAAATTAAAATTAAAATGTGAATCTCTTTTGACTCATTAATTTTACTACAGGAATTTATCCTAAAGAGATAAACATGTAGATTGTTTTCACTGCAACATTGCTTATCATAATAAAATATTAGAAACAACCTAAATTTCTATCAAGTGATTAAAAAGCTAATATATTGATAGGATAATACAATGTAGCTATTATAATGATCATGTTGATCTATAGTTACTAACATGGGAAGATGTTCAAGGCATAGTATTAAGAATATTGTGTTTAAAAAGCATTTATAGAATATGTGTAATATAATTTCATTTCTAGATAATTGACTATGTTTACTTCTGCATTTCAAGGTATACCTAATAGATATTTATCAAAATAGTTTGTCTTAGTGGTGGAGTTGTAAATATTCTCCCCAACACTTTAATTTTTCCAAGATTAACAAAAAGTTATTTTTGATGAGTCAGTAGCTAAATTTTATTTAAGAGAAATGCTTCCTACGTACTAAGTATTAGTCTATAAAGAGTTCAATATCAAAAATCAAAATAAGTGAAATTAAATTTCAGAGTACATATATACATCCTACCTTGGCTCTTCTATAATTGAATGTCTACACATTCAGAATTAGTTCTGACTTGTGCTGATAATTTCTGATTTATTCTTATGACATGCTCTGAAAAAACTAGTGTAGTTGTATAAAATTTGCACTATGTGGATTATAATGATTTATTTTATTCTTGTTTTTGAAATAATGAATTATCCTTAGAAAATATTTCATTTCATTTGAAAAAATATTCTTCAGGTGATGAGAACTACCCGATTTGGGGAAAACTGTGTTTACATTTCTAGTAATGAACTCTCAGATTTAACTTGTGTTTAATAAAAACCCAAGATGAATTTGGGCTTATCAATTTGTTTTGGATGTTTATTTTGATTGCAGCATCCATTTGAAATCCAATTGTAAGCATCACTTCTAATCAAAGTACTTTT